AAAAAAAAAAATCCCCAACCAAAGAAATAGAAAGGAAGAAAAAATAAGGGAAATCCCATCTGAAGAAAATCTAGAAGCAGTTGCACATAGTGAGTGCTGCGGAAATGACAACTAAACAAGCAAATTGTAACTGACTAAACTTAATTATTTAAAACAACCTGTAAACACTTGATGTTCACAACAATTCCATGACATTAGAAAATAAAGAAAGGATATATTATTCATTATGCCCAAAGAAAAGAGACAAATATAAGTATAGATAGTCTCCTTCACAGTTATACACTTTGCAACCTTTAGCTTTACACTTTCAACTTAATAAATAGTAATCAAAAGCTAGCAAGACACATAATTGTGCCAAAAAAACTTTCTAAAAATATTCCCAAGAGAGAAAAACAGAACTCCTTGCATAGGGTTGAAGAAATAATAAAGTAAATATAACAGTTTAAAATTTTAGACGAGGTAGTCGCACAGTTCAACATGGTCTCAGAGTAGAAAGGTTCTGGGTTCAATTATCACCACCTCCGTCACAAAGAATTTTCACGTGCTTGGCCATGAAATAGAATCAACTCACATGTAAGAGGAGACATTAAAGATCTCCTTCCATTCCAAATAGATCGACACTATTTCTTTACTACACCTTTCTAAATTTCACACTTAATACATGTTTTTATAGTCACAAAAATATTATGAAATATTTAGATTCGTAAGTTTGAAATTTCGTAAGGAGTGAACAATAAAGTAAATAAGAGTGTCCCTCTGTAGTAACTCAAACTTTTAGATGAGGTGCTCCCACAATTCAACACATAATAAAATCAAATAAAAGAATTAAAAGATAAAAATCAAGAGTCCATGGGCGCACCTCTAACTTCGTAAGTTTGAAATTTCTACCAGATTAATGCTACTGGAATCTTGTAAAGATCAACTCTTTGATGTAAAAAATAACAAATTTGATGGGTACATAAAGAAACCATTGAAAGCTGAAATTTTCAATTAAAGGGTAATAATAAAAACTCAATATATACAGAGTAATGTTAATATATACACTTACCTTTTGATTTACGATCATAAACGGCAGCAGACCAAACAACGCTAATTTTCGAAGGAAGGAAATTGAGGTTTCGGATAGAAGGAATTGTGATGTGAAAAAGAAAGAAACAAAAGGAAAGAGAAGAGAAAAAGGAAAGGTCAAATGCGAAGGGAAAAACAGAAAAAGTGGACACAGTATGCGACATAATAGGTGACTGTTCCCATATTTATATGTTATCTTTAGTGGTTAGCGCCAGTTGTCCGCTTGGACTTTCCTTTTATAAATAAACATGAAATAAAGGGCAATTCGGTGCACCGACTCCATTGAGCACCTACTATGGGTTCGGAAATAAGTCGGACCATAATGATGTATTATATGTAATCTTACTCGACATTTTTACAAGGGGTGATTTTCATTGTTCGAACCCGTAACGTCCTGGTCACATGACAATAATTTTACCAGTTACGCCAAGGCTCCTTTCCGTTATAAACAAGAAATACTCCTTCGTTATTTTACTATACGAAAAAAAGGCGTCCATTTTTGTATGTAATTTACCCTTATTATTTAGTATTACTAATACTACTTAATTATTTACAAAAGTTTAAGAGTGTGCCGAGTCGAATATTAATTAGGGAAATATAATAAATTATTATTTTATTAATTACTTCTTAAAGAAATAATAGTAAGGAAGAGTATTTGAAAGAAGAAAAAGAAGTAGGAGAACACTTTTTTTGGATAAAAAAATTAGTTTGTTTCTTAATGAATAATTTGTGGTGCTTGGAGAAGGATACAATTTTTCGAAATATGATTTTGTCATGATCCAATTTCCTCTCCGTATATCGTCGTGACGGCACCTAGTCTCTATGACTAGGTAAGCTTAACATTTGCGGAATAATGAAATGAAAACATAAGTTTAGCTAACTGTAACAATAACCAAATAACTGAATACCATGCCGCTTGGCACGTACAATTAGGGGTGTACAAACCAAACCGATAACCCGCACCAACCTGAAAACCCGAGTCAACCCGGAAAAAAAACCCGATTAGTGGTTTGGTTTGACTTGGTTTGGTATTGGAAAATAAAACCCGACCACAATAGGGTTGGTTTGGTATTAACTAAAAAAAGTCAAACCGAAACCAAACCAACCCGACATTACATGTATACATATTTTATATATTAGATAGATAAAAATATTTATTAGAATCTAAGTTATAAATATTTCTTAATTTTTATTATAATTTCTTTATATAGCATAATATTTTAAATTGGTATTATAGCCCATGTAAATGTTTGTTTTTGTTTGGCGCATAAAAGAATAATTGAGCCCAAACCAAAACCTAATCTTAAAGCAGATAGATTGTCCTATAGGTGTTGTGAAACACACAAACAATTGAAATCATCTTGCCTCTTCTCCAAAGGCAAAAAACCTACGCTCTTCCTTTGCTCAAACAATTGAAATCATCGGTAAAGCTTTCATCGGTAAATCTCTCATCGGTATAGCTCTTTTGCTCTCATTTTACATGTTTTCTTTTAGCTGCAAACATATACCTTGATTTTCCCCAATTAACTAAGATGTGGAAAGCTTGCTTTTACAAAAATGTATGTGGACGACTATAAGTATCAAAAGTATTGTCGAGAAATAAGTGCTTTAAGAGGAAATCCATCTGCAGATGACTGGAAGAATGTGAAAGCTTTTATAAAGTTTCTTAACATTTTCTATCAGACAACTTTAAAATTTTCAGGCAGTTTATATGCTACTTTCAACTCTTTCTTCCATGAATTTTTCAATCTTCGAAATGCTATTATAAAGCATACCAAAAGCGATGATCGTACTTTGAATGATATGGCAGGAAGAATGAAAAGTAAGCTTGAGAAATATTGGGGTAAGTTTGAGGATATGAATATGTTATTGCTTGTTGCTTTGTGTTGGATCCTAGATACAAGATGAAGTATGTGAACTTCATTCTTACTGTTGCTTTGCCTCCCATCTGCCCTTAGACAGATCTCGCCACTTACGACCATCACGAGTCGAATAGATCACCAACTTCCGAGCATAATCCATCATGACGGGGACCTCGTATGGCGTCCATGAAATTGCTGCAGAAAGGGAGTGAAAAACGCATTTACGGAGCCTGCCTCCGCCACGAGCAAAACAACAAAGACACAAGTATACCACTTACGTGCAAAATTCCATTCCTCGGGAAATAGCAGGAACTCGATCGGGATAATATCAGCAGTCCGTACTTGGATGAATCGGCTCATCCATTCCTGGTCCCCATCTTCTTCGTCATCAACGATGAAAGGCCTAGTGGATTGGCATCGCAAGGTCAGCAGGCCTCGATGGTGAAAAGGCCGGTACAACCTGATAAGATGACTGAGGGTAAAATCGAGCCCTGCTCCTTTCGTAAAGGATCACATCATCAGTATGCCAAAACGACGGGTGAACCTGTTCCAAGGTAGCCCGATATTTCCGATAGAAATTGAGCACAACCCTATCGAGGGGGCCCAGCATGAAGGGGTACATGTATACATTCAGAAACCCCTTGACACGGTCCATAATGCTCTCTTCCGGGGAAGGTACCTGCAGTACTACTTTCTCCCCCAATCCACAATCTTTTCTCACTAACTCAAGATGCCCCTCTTCTATCAGAGAGGTAAGCTTTGAAGCATACTCCCAATGCCCCTGGGCATTGGGAGGTTTTCCTGTAGGAAAATTCCCCCTCGAAGCAAAATGTCCTAAAGGTAGATCGCCTGACTTCGGTGACGCACCACCAACCAAGCAGGGGTTAGAGGCGCAACTCCCTTCTCCTTGCCGAACGAATCCTGGCGCAACAACCATAACTATGGCAAAATCAGAGAGTTGAAGCGAAATCTGAGCAAGGATTCCCAGGTTAAAGTAGTGAAGAACCTAACACAGAGAGAAGAACTCTATACTCAGGACAGCGGAATCCTAAAAAAAGAGAAGACAAACCTATATATAGAAGCAAGCGGTGACTGTCCGCCCGCCTCAAAGGCCAGTTAAAAATACTGGCTAAGCCATTATCACTCTGGGAAGACGTACCGGCGCGATCGCCTCGGTCATTTTATAACCATGTCATACAATTTATGCGGTCGAACGGCATTTCGGGGATCAAAAACCCCCGCATCAACAAGCCTCGAGATGGTACCCGATCTCGAGGACCTCTATCAAAAGGAAGATAGGCTCTAAGGAGCCCTTAACATTGTTACAAGACTCGAGATGGTACCCGATCTCGAGGACCTCTATCAAAAGGAAGATAGGCTCTAAGGAGCCCTTAACATCGTTACAAGCCTCGAGATGGTACCCGATCTCGAGGACCTCTATCAAAAGGAAGATAGGCTCTAAGGAGCCCTTAACATCGTTACAAGCCTCGAGATGGTACCCGATCTCGAGGACCTCTATCAAAAGGAAGATAGGCTCTAAGGAGCCATTGATATAATTACAAGCCTCGAGATGCTGCCCGATCTCGAGGACCTTTGTCAAAAAAGAAGATAGGCTACAAGGAGCCATTGATATCGCTACAAGCCTCGAGATGGTACCCGATCTCGAGGACCTCTATCAAAAAGAAGATAAGTTCTAAAAACCTACTCATATGGGCTTNCAGATAGATTGTCCTATAGGTGTTGTGAAACACACAACAATTGAATCATCTGCTCTCTCCAAAGGCAAAAACTACGCTCTCCTTTGCTCAAACAATTGAAATCATCGGTAAAGCTTTCATCGGTAAAGCTCTTTTGCTCTCATTTTACATGTTTTCTTTTAGCTGCATACATATACCTTGCTTTTCCCCAATTAACTAAGATGTGGCAAGCCTTTTACAAAAATGTATGTGGACGACCATAAGTATCAAAAGTATTGTCGAGAAATAAGTGCTTTAAGAGGAAATCCATCTGCAGATGACTGGAAGAATGTGAAAGCT